AAATAATCAGCGGTCATGTGGAGGTCCACCATGATGAGCAGTAGCCACGTTTCCAAGGCGGATCATTGATATACTGGCCGATAACCTGGGATGCCACCCTGGAGAAATTGAGAGTGAAACTTGCCTGGTCAGCGCCGAGGTAATTGATGTTGAACACCAATTCCTTAGGAAGGTATTCGGGGGATCGCCAAACGATCCAGCCAACGCCAGGATAGACCTAAACGACGAAGCCGTCAATAGTGTTTATTACGGCGTGTTGGACTGATGGGAACCAACCAATCCGTATTTGTGCCCGGAAACATTGATAGAAACGACTTTCTCGAGTTTAAAATCCCATTCGAGGTCCGGGTTGACAAATGGCGCCACAAATCCCCCGCTGGCAGCGTCGACGTGAATTGGGCAGTCGATACCTCTCTCCACTAACAGATCATTGATGGCTTTGATATCCTCGTACTGACCAGTGTACGTAGTTCCAAGAATGGCACAAATACCAATGGTGTTCTCATCGACCAGATCGACGGCCTCCTCAGGGTCAATAACATACCTTTCCGGAGTGCAGTATACGAACTTTTCCTCGACATCAAAATACCGGGCCGCTTTCTCCCAGCAGACTTGAACTGCACTGCTCATGATTATATTGGGACGTGAGCAGTCCTTGCCTGCTGCTTTGCGCCTGTTCGCCCAGCGTTTCTTCATAGCGAGTGTCCCAAGCATGATGGCTTCGGAAGAGCCGACGCACGAGGTCCCCATGGCATGGTCCGCCGTATCTGACATGGGAGCATTGAAAAGGCGCGCGATCATGTTCACGCAGCGGTTCTGAATTTCGGCAGACTGGGGATATTCCTCGTAGTCAATAAAGTTTTTGCTGAAAGATTCCGCCATGAGTTTCTCTGCTTCTTCCTCCTACATTTTCCGAATAATTTTCGTTGTCAGTTTCAACATATAGCTTTTTGCAGGACTAGCATGATATTACCATGTAAGTTGTCACGAAGCTCGCCAAGCTGCCGTTCGACCACGAGTTAGCTCCATGGTTCTGCGTGGACTGAGGCTGACCCCAGTTTGCAATGAGATGACCACTAGATATCTCACTTCAACATTGGATTGCCGTCCAGGCTCAATTCATCCTTGATCATTCGATAAGCCACTTCTCGCGGCATTTCCTTCTCGGGCATCTCATTAGTCGGCAGATCTTCGGCCGCGAAACGCGAGCCATAGACGCTGGAAAAGAAGTCATGTTCCTGCGGCTCGTCGAGTGGAATTGTATCAACCCGCTTCACCATGCGAAGGGGGAGAGTGTCAGCGTTCTTGCTGACGGCAGCGAGATGGACCATATTGAGCGTGTGTTTTGATATCTCGCTTTGATTTCTTGGAGCACTGCAGGCGTAGTAGAGCGAATGAATATTAAACAGAGCAGTCAGAGAATTCGAGGATAAAATATCAGAATGGGCTGAGAGATAGAGGTGCAAGAAGACGCGGAGAGGAGGGGCAGCAAGCCTCCAAGGATAACTCGCGCAGATACAGGGCCAGGCTGTTACCCTGCACTTCACCGCGCTAGCTCGTCACTTCGGGCCATTAAGCAACGACAAGCCTTGTTGATGACCGGGAATATCATCATCTTGACAAATTAACCGGGTATGGAGTGGAGAACGGGGAGCTGGAGCCGGAGCTTGCCCGCCCTACCTTCATCACCAATTCCAATCATCGACAGCGAGCCGGCGTTGAAGGCCTGACGAGTGATATAACCGTGTAGTTACGGAGTAGCCGGGCTTCTATTCCCTTGCCATCCAATGAAAAAGAAGTCGTTAGCCTAATACATAGGTAGCAAGCATCCTTTTCTAACATGACCTCGAAGCTCTTACACTAAGGCTAGGATGGTCGTTTTAGCTGCACTCTGTAACTAGTGGATAGTTAGTTAATATAGTGCACTTCTGATCCTGCCATAGAACCAAGAGATAGTTACTTAACTTGACTAGTTAGTTAACTGTAACTAATCTAACTGGTGAGTTAACAAATGCCAACAAATGGTGAAGCTAACTTCCAGTAACTTGTTAACTTGCTCTCCTTAACTTCACCACACAAAGAGGCATTGGACGACACACCTGGTGTTGAGCATGGTTCAAAACTCCCATCCATTGCAATTGCTCACTATAAATACAGCATCAATCATTTTGGATATTTTGTGATATACAATAAAAGCAAGGGCGTGTGCTTTACAATCATCAAAGAGGTATCATCCACATTACATTCATCAGAACATTGACCGAGAGACAGCGGCTGACTTCCAGCAAACAAGAAGAAAAGAATGACAGCTTTCGGATTAGGGTTCATCATGATGCCAATACCGGTGGCTGGTTTGCTGCAGGCGCTGGCATTGCAGGCGCTGCCGTGGTGCCCGCCTGCTGCCCTCCGTTCGATTGTCCCGCGACATTGGCAGCGTCTGTCGGCTTCGACGATGCCCTCCGCAAAAGCCGAGTGAAGAAGCCACCTGATTCCATCTTCGAATCCCGTCTCTCTCCAGGACCTTGCTCGGTACCTCCGTTATTAGACTTCTGCTCTTCGAGGCGACGTTGGACCTCGTCCATTTGTCGTCGCTTTTCTTCGTTGACCCGGTCCTTCTCTTCCCGCTGGCGCCGCTTCTCGCGAGATTTGGCGTCCTTCTCAGCTCTTCGACGCTCTGCGCGGCTAAGCTTGCGGGGGGCTGCGCCAGGACGCTCGGGGACAGCAGCAGCGGCAGGTGCAGGCGCTTGAACTGGGGCCTGTGGCCGCTCTTCGATTGGACGTTCCACCGCTTCATGGAATTCTTCGGTGCCTTCTGTTGGCTCTTCTACCTGCGCAAGGATGGGCGCAGTACCCACTGGAGCTGGGGCCGCTCTGATTTCTGCATCATCATGTAACTGCTGTTGCATATCTATCGGTGCTTCGTGCTCCTGGAATGTTGTTGGCTCTGGTGGCATGACAACCGGAGGCATGGCTGAGACATGGAGCTGTTCGGGCGGCTTTACCAAATGCTCTGTTTCTCTTGCGCCACCTTCCCTTTCGTCTAACCGTCCGATTCCAGCCACCATACCCTTGCCTCCCTCTTCTTTTCGAAACGGCCGACCCTGATCGACTTGCTCGGCTTCTTGGAGCGGCTCTCTCGTCCCTGGCACCATCTTAAGAGGCTGTTCCGCACGAAAGTACTCGGGCGTCCTCTCCGGCTTACTTATACCTCCTGCTACCCGCAGCTCCTCTCCTGGCTCCTGGCATGATTCAGCCTCTGCTTGCAGAATTGCGCTTTCGCATGCAAGGATCACTCTAGGAGTCTCAGCCTCTCGATGCCGTTCCCAATCTTCCTCGGCTAATTCTTCTGGGTGCCGCTTATGCTCTTCAAGTACTGCCCGCTCGGCTTCAGCTTGCTGAACTGCAACAGAGTACACTGGTGTGGCCTCTGCTGGATGCGCACTTCCCTGTCCATGGGTAAGCTGAGCGACCCTTTCTTCTTCGGGAATATACGGGATTTCCGTCGCATTTCCAATTATTACTGTCTCATGGCGTAATGGCGAGGAGCCTCGCGGGATGGCAGAGTGCTCCATGGCAGCGCGCTCGCTTTCTCCCGTGGTGACAATGGCTGGAGTCGACATACTAGGGGGAACTGCCCATTGTTCTGAGTTTTCTTCAACCTGGGGCCGCGGATTACTTGGCAGAGCAGACAACAACCCGTCATCCTCAATAAGCTCCGAGTCGTTCCACTCTGTTCTATCATATTCCTCGTCGACAGCCTCTGTGGTTCCCACCCCATCCACCTCGGTGACATGGCCTTCCTCCGCCGCCTCTAGGACAAATGGCGGCTGATGTTCTTCCACGGAAGGCCGCTCTATCACTTTCCTTGGTGCCGTTTCTTTGGTACAGTAGGCGGATGCGGCAGCCGCCACCGCTGCACCCTGCTCGTCATGGACTCCAAGCGAACGCTGTCGAGATGAACGCAAAGGTGGCGGTGGTTGTTGCTGCGCGCTGGTTTCTGACGCATATCGTGGAGCGGACGGCGAACTGGGCCTCCATCTCGTCTCAGTTGCGGTTTGCGTAACTATATACTTGACTGTTAATAACAAGGATCTAGATCTACGAGCATGACCATGACGCATACCTTCAGCTGCTGTTCCGCCATTGGCTTGAGTAGTGCCGACAGCCATGGTTTCGTAGTATATATCATCTGGGGCCTTGACGTCCTGGACTGGGCATGACCTCGAGACGCTCCTCGGTTAAGGTGGGCCTCCGTTCATGGGAATTTTGAACGCGACTTTCAATCTGTCGAATGGCAGCCCTACTCGATCGAGCTTTTGAGAAGTGCGATCCAGGGCCAGTCATCATCCGACCCGGCCGGCGTTTTGAAGTGCGATCGTGGCCATTGGGTTGATCGTCCTTGCTGCTGGCAGAAATTGTATCTCAGCAACTGAGCACGGCGGAAGCAAACAGATTTTTCAACTCACCCGACAGATTTAAATCTGCGCATTTTGACGAGATCGCAGTTACTTTCAACGGACAAACTCAACGAACCGTGTCAAAATGGTATACTTCGATTCAAAATACCACGCCGGTTCAGAAAGAGAAACAATCAAAAGGCATTGCAATTGACGCAGCCCCTATTATACTAGCTCTCCCCACTCCAGTTTTTGCCCAGATTACAGTCAGGAGGCGATTTAACCCCATGAAAGAGGTAACTATGGAACGGTGAAGTCATGCATTGCCATCTTTTGGGTAGGCCGTACCCAAATTCAGGATGAGCACATGGCCGTAGGTAGAAGTTTATGGAATGTGATTTCCATGGGTAAGTTTGCCTGACGAATTCTTTTCTAGGGAACACATCCCAGCGGGGTTTCAACTTACCTATGCCTTCAGGACTTTTGGACAGCTTAGCATTCACCACCCATTGCACAGCACGAGATTTCCATCGCCGTCGATAGTTGATGGAAGCGTACGGAGTAGTCTTGCGCGAGAAGACAACTGGTGGCTTCGATCCCGCCCGCCCAGGATTCGTTTCCGGGGATCACCCACGAGGATTTACCGGGCCGAACTGTCACGAAGCTTATTTTGCTGAAACGCCGCTTCTTGGCATGAGCCGTTTATCCCATCACGCTGGATCCTCGTTCATTGACGATGGGAGGTTGATACATTGCAATGTTACCACCACGTTGCCTACGATTCATGGTGAAGGAAGTAGTATTAGAAAATATTATTGTTTATATGTTTATATATCCAGTATTCCCCCATTACCAGCCGTCTGTACACTAACTTTGAGTGCAGAACATTGTCGACGGACGAAATAAAATATTAAAGCCCGTTTTGGCGTACGTGTACGTCGGTTTTCGCCCTGTGGTGCCATTCGATCGATTCGGAGAAGCGGGTGCCTCAAGCTACTCGTCTGCAGCAACGTCCGGGTTTGATCCTTCGAATAGGATCCATACTGCAATCGTCAGCTCTTAGGATTTGAAAGTATAGGTCCTGTCCTGGCGTTTCAACTTGCTCTCGAATTGGGCACCAATCCTCAACAAATCTATCTCGAGGTTATGCCATCGCATTCTTATCCATTCGAAACCAATGTTTGCTGTAGGGCTCAGAGGCCGTTCCGGCGATTCGCTACCCTAATGTGTTAACGGATTTCATCTCGCTATGATAACGGGCCGGTGCATACCTATCCCGCGTAGCAGCTGTACTTGACCAGGAGCAGTCTGATTCAAGATCAGATTCGTTACTGCGGTTGAGGCGGCCTCTGGTTGGAAATGTACCCATGGCTGCCGTTGTTTAAGGACGCAAACAGACTCAAAACCGATCGACTATGATTGCAACGAACTCAGGATGAAGAAAATGAGAATTCTTCATCTTTATAGCAGCTCGGTGCATCTGCAGATCTGAAATGGGAATGTCAAGCAGGCAACACCGTCTGATGCCAAGCCCGCTCCAAAAGGCGCAAGAGCAGGTGGTTAAGAACATGATGCATTTGATAATTGGATACGAAATGCCGTTAACTTAGAAAACAGAAAAAGCAAGAAAGGAAAGCAAGGCTTCAACCGCGCCCTTCTCCCTGTGAACAGAAGCCCTTTGACCGCATACCACACCAACCTCATGACTAGCCTCCCCGTGTGCCTTGAGTGTTTTAAAATGCACAGCCTGGCTAGGTAATATAGCGAGGCCAGGAATGATGCAACAAAACTCTAAATGGGCAGCTTATCGGGCAACAGATCCCTCAGCTCCAGGGGGATAAAGAACAGGCCGGAAGTTTTAGACGACAGGAATTTTTGTGCTAAAGGTGCTTTGGCCACGGCGCTATGGAGCAGCGATATGCAAATGCAAGATTTTCGTCCTCAATTGGTGTTCTTGCCGCCTGATGTTCAAAAGAGATGTTTCGAGACTTTCCGCAACTAAATTAAAATTGTCGTCGGGGCTTGTTGCCACATTACGGTTCCGCCGCTCCACAGTTGACCCAGCGGAGATTAGCAGTATGATGTCGCTTCAACAGACATGCCCAGGGAGTACCAATATTGATGCATTTGAAGAGATAGGGATCTCGTTTACCCCGAAAGAAACTCCTTCCGTACCAAAATATGCAGCATTTTCTGCCGGCTGATATTATTCCTCTTGAAGGAGAAACTAGGATTGATGCAATGTTCTCGAACAAGTGCGAAGCCGCGGAAATCTTGTTAGAAAGGGATGGCAAACTAATATTAGTATGCTGGAGAATCGATAGCTGTATGATTCTGTGTGCCCTTGGCCCCTGTGGCACTCGACTGCCAATCACCCGTGAAGTGGATATTTTAATCCCCGTTCGCCATGTGCATGTGGCACCCTCAAGGGAATGGCCAACAATCAGGCATCCTGAGCAGTGAGCTCTGGGAACCAGGAATTGGTTTCTCTTTCTGGTTCCGAACTCTGAACTACAAACTTGACCTGTCATAAACTACTAGTCACGCAATCCCTCCGGAGATACCAGGGTTTCCATTGGCTAGGGATGCCATGCAAATGGTGTAGCGTCAGTGTGTGACCTGAAGACTCCCGAATTAACTTTAGAATTACTAATTACTCTAAGGCCTATTGGTGCCTCACACATGATGGGCTTGGGGCCTTCCGGTCTTGAGTTCCTCTGACAGGATTCTGATCCCCCTACTCCGTACCTAGCTAGGGTCTTAGCAAATAACAACTGCATTGCGATTCACTTGCCCCAACAAAGCCAAGGCCGAATATTCGAAGAGTTATTCGATTCGGACTATTCCGAATATATTCGAGAATACGAATATTTGGTGCACACACTGTGTAGCGTGATGTGGAGAACCCCTTACGGAAGCCTATAAATCTGTGATAATAATGAATGACGTTGAAAGAGACTAAAACGAAAAGGAAACATGGTGGGAATGAACATCAAGACAAAACGGGCATGGTGACAACAGGAAAAAGAGCGGTGAACATTCATCCTGGTGATGTTGAGTCAAGAAAAGGGGGGAGCTGAAGAGAGCGCACCATCCCTGGTGGTTTAGTAACGGGTTAATAACCCAGGAGGGTGGAAGATACAAGACTCTACGGAAGATGGATGAAGGGAGAGAAAGACGGATTGTTGGCTTCAAATATTTTGGGTGTAGTGCCCATATGCTCATGCTTGACGCTCTTCCCCATCCTTGATCTTGGGTTTGTGATCGCTCTCGATCCGTCTTGTTCTTCACTTGAGCCAACAGCATACATATTGTTATGCCTGAGCAAATCTAAAAAAACTAGGCCCCTCCGCCAAAACTGAAATTTTCAAAAGCACCGAGACATTGGGGCTTCGAGTGATTTGCGACGAGATCTCTATTACCCGCGCCCGCGCCCACACTTATGTGGTAGCGTGCGATTTGCCCCCAGCCTCATGCATGTTGAACGCCGTTCAGCGGTGGAGTCTGGAAAGGAGCAAGACTGGAGTCCATCCAGTTCGTTCACTTAATCGTATTGTAAAGAATCTAGCTGGTGCGCCCATTCACTCTTCATGTGTTACAGCCATATCAAGCACCTCTACGCGTCCTCTTCCTTTGGTCTCACCTCCTACAAACTCGCTTAGGCCCTTGAACGCTCCCGGCTCGGCAAAGCCGATGACCTCCCATTCATCCTGCCCAAGTATCTCTTGAGACTCCACTTGTTCAAAGTAGTGTAAGATTCGATCTTTGACAGTTCCTGTTCCTGTCGCGGTATCCTGTGTGCCGCCGATCTCACGGGCTTCTTCATCGCTATCGTCCGCCTTTTTGCCTTTTTTTCCTTTCCCCTTGCTGTTCTTTTGTGCGCCACTGGCAGGATTCGTTGTCGATCTCGCTGCTTGCTTCAGAATCGAAGTTGGGCAAGTAATCCGTAGACGCATTCTTGCACGCATCACGGGCACGGGCTGCCACGCAATGAGGGCTTTCATCGCATCCAGTGCTTGACTCTTTGCCGATTTCGTCGTCACCACACCCGTCCACAGCGGCTTTTTGCGCTGCGATGACAGCTCCTCCGATGCTGGGACGGGTGTACCTGACTCGCTCCTCAAAGGGGCTTCGGCGGGTGACTCACCGCCAGGCTTTGGTTTCCCACCCTGCTGCCCACCAGCCGCGCTCAGCTGGTCGAGAGCCTTGCTGATCATCCCTGTCGTGTACACTCTCTTCGAAACGGGGTCCACCAATCTGGCGCTCACAATTTCCAGCACTTCCCTCTCTACTCGTTCCAGGAGCTCCTTTCTCTCCTTCTCGCCAACTTGAACTTCCCCCTTTCGCAAAATCTCCTGGACAATATCCTCGCGCTTCGCATTGGAACCGAAAGACTTGGCGAGATCTGCAGCGGGGGCGGTCTGCGCTTTGGATACGGAGAGGAAAACGGTGGGGACCTGTAAGACATTGTCAAGATCGGCTTCGGCGCCCGTGCGGTATTCTAGGAGTTTGTTCTTGTAGCATGCGAGCTCGAAACGTTTTTTCCCTAAGGTGGGGCTGGGTTAGTATGGATGCGCGGAGGAAACTAAAGTGCGTGCAACTTTTCAGTGGCAGAGGGGATGAAGTAAGATGGAGTAGGTACCTTTCTTTAGACGAACAATGGATACATTTGTAAATTTTATTTGGTTGGAGGGCTGATTTATGCCGACCGGCATTGTAACGGATTGCGGGTATCAAAGGTGGGGTGGTTGGAGGTGCGATGTGATGAACTGGATTTGAGAATATGACAGGTAAGCAGTTACTGTAGGATAAAAAAAATGGATTTTATCTATTTTATTTTTGCGCTTCATCAAATCATGTCATCAATAAGAACATGTCATCATAGCAGTGTTGATTGTTTGCTGTGATTCTTGATATCGGATGAGATGATAGCAGATGACTCATCAATATCGAGTGAACTAGCTAGTTAGCCCACTGGCTACAACGACTCTCGGTTTCGTATCAATATGTGATGATCCATACTTCACCAACTTCTACAGATTGTGTTCAAAATATCACTGTGACATCTGAAGAGTGTAGCAGTCAGAATTTATGAGTCCATAAATCATTTCTCAAACTCCCTCTTGAGATTTGTCGAAAGCCCGCAGTTTGAAAAGACGAGACGCCGCCAAGCCCCTAGTGTAACAGCACCGGTGACCCTGTATGCTGCGCTAGTCCAGGTATGGTAAGGCGCGTCTGTCACCTTGATGGCTGGTATTCATTGCGTAATGGCACCTCCAACCTCACTCCATCATCTCACATCCCCGAATCTCAACCTCATCTCGTCTTGCATCTTCCTTCATCGGTGTTGTTAGTTGTTGTGGTTAGTCGATATTCGTTACGCCGTGCAGTGATTCTACGCAAAACACTCGTTCACGCTGGTCCGGGAAACTGAAGTGGAGCACCCTGCCTCTCGGCAACGTCATTCAGCTTTCCCGCCTCTCACCCTCACTGATTGTTCAATTGGTGCAGTGTCTCGTTCATCGGACTGTGTTGCTTCTCTTAGCATCATGAAAACCTTTACAGCGGCCTTGCTGGTCGGGACAGCCCTGGCTGCTGTTCCCCAGCAGCAACCACTACAAACTCAAGTCGAAGACAGCGCCTGGGCCAAGCCTCTTGAGGACCTGAAGGACACGATAAAGTCCATGGGCGCTGAGGCAAAGCAGGCATGGGATCAATTAGCGTCTGCATTCCCTGATGCTCTCAACGAATACACCCTCTTCTCTGCCCCGAAGAAGCATACACGCCGACCAGATTCCCATTGGGATCATGTCGTCCGGGGAGCTGACGTACAAGGAATCTGGGTTGACGGTGTTGACGGCCAAAAGCACCGAGAAGTCGATGGTAAACTAGAGAACTACGATCTGCGAGTCAAGGCCGTTGACCCATCGAAACTCGGGATCGACCCTGGCGTGAAACAGTTCAGCGGTTATTTGGACGATAACGAAAACGATAAGCATCTCTTCTACTGTAAGTTGACATCACACAGCAACACTGGTAAATGTCGCTAATATTAATGGTACTAGGGTTTTTTGAATCGCGCAACGACCCGAAGAATGACCCTGTCGTGTTGTGGTTGAACGGTGGCCCAGGCTGCTCCTCCTTGACTGGCTTGTTCTTTGAACTCGGTCCAGCTAGCATCGATAAGAACCTAAAAGTCATCCATAACCCTTACTCGTGGAACTCCAACGCGTCTGTGATTTTCTTAGATCAGCCCGTGAACGTTGGCTTCTCATATAGCGGCAGTTCAGTCAGCGACACCATTGCTGCCGGCAAAGATGTCTATGCCCTGCTTACTCTCTTCTTTAAACAATTCCCCCAGTACGCCAAACAAGATTTCCACATCGCCGGTGAATCATATGCAGGACACTACATTCCGGCTTTTGCGTCGGAGATTCTTTCCCATAAAAACCGAAATATCAACCTCAAGTCCGTGCTTATCGGAAACGGCCTGACTGACCCTCTCACCCAATACCCCCACTACAGACCAATGGCCTGTGGTGAGGGCGGATATCCCGCTGTTTTGGACGAGTCCAGCTGTCGCTCCATGGATAATGCTCTTCCTCGCTGTCAGTCCATGATCGAATCGTGCTATAGTAGCGAGAGCGCCTGGGTATGCGTGCCAGCCTCGATTTACTGCAACAACGCGATGATTGGCCCTTACCAGCGCACCGGCCAGAATGTCTATGATGTCCGCACTAAATGCGAAGACGGCTCTCTCTGCTATACTGGCCTCAACTACATCACCCAGTGGCTTAACCAAAAGCCTGTCATGGAAGCCCTTGGTGCAGAAGTTGAAAGCTACGATTCCTGTAACATGGATATCAACCGCAATTTCCTTTTCCACGGTGACTGGATGAAGCCATACCACCGTCTCGTGCCAGGATTGATTGAAAAGCTTCCCGTCCTCATCTACGCTGGTGACGCTGACTTTATTTGCAATTGGTTGGGTAACAAGGCATGGACGGAAACCCTTGAGTGGAGCGGCCGCGCAGAATTCGCTAGCGCTGAAATGAAGAATCTAACTATCGTCGATAACAAGAGCAAGGGCAAAAACATCGGCCAAGTCAAATCCCATGGCAATTTCACTTTTATGCGACTCTTTGGAGGTGGCCACATGGTTCCGCTTGATCAACCTGAGGCCAGTCTTGAATTCTTCAATCGCTGGTTGGGGGGTGAATGGAAAGCTTAGGTTGATGATTTTTTATCGTGATTCAACGACGTCTTATTGCTCTATCTTACTATCTGATATTGTCCAAATGCACCAAGTGCTTTGATTTTTGCTTTATACTTAGATTGTCAGTTGTTTCGAGGGCGTCTGTTGCATAGTTTCATAGGCGGTTTGATGTCGTAGAACGGATTAATTCCATTTAGTATTTAAGGGAGATGTGTTTATCATCGTCGCATACAACTTAACATATTATTCGTTCTTGATATCAGATTGGCCCGAGTTCCATATAGGAAATCATTCTGTGGAATGGAGTGAAAAGACCTTAGAAATCGGAATTTCTACGAAGTAATTGGTAACCCAAAGAGATAAGGTCTCAAATTGCTTAAAATTATTATACTGAAGCTGTAGAATCAATGAGAGTCGTTGGATTGTATTCATTTCGATTCTTTTTTTTCATTCTTGCTACACATGGCTCATCATATTATAAAGGCGGGTACAAGAAAACCAGCTTCGCCAGCTTTTCTCCGCTTTTGCTCTTCCCGCGTAGTAGGGCCAACAAGAGGCCATACCAGCTACAGCCAATCTCGCACAAAACCACCCACTGTGTTGACCTTGTTGGAGCAGAATCTCAAAAAAGAAAATCGGAGAGGATGCTCCCATTTCGCCCTATTTGCATCCCCCACACGTACCTAGAGAAACAGTACGTACACCGGAACAAAAGACACAGAGACGAAAAGGCGAGAAGCGAGGAGGTAAGGAAAAAAGCAAGAACCCAAGGACTCCCATTTGTGCGTTTCGTTTATCCCTTCTTCTTGCTGACACCGACGGTACGTCCTCTGCGGCCGGTGGTCTTGGTGTGTTGACCCCTGACGCGGAGACCCCAGTAGTGACGGAGACCTCTGTGGGCACGGATCTTCTTCAAGCGCTCGAGATCTTCACGGAGCTTGGAGTCCATGTTGTTGGCGAGGACCTGGGAGTCCTTGCCATCGGTGATGTCGCGCTGACGATTGAGGAACCAGGTGGGGATCTTGTACTGGGTGGGATTCTGGATGATGGTGACGATGCGTTCGAGTTCTTCGGTGGTGATTTCTCCGGCACTGCACGAAAAAAAGATATCAATAAGAGGGCCCATGCATATGATACGTGGTTGCAATATCGCGGATTCAAATGAATTATTGGCCATGGAGAGCCCGGTGAAGCAGCATACCGCTTATTCAAATCGACATCGGCCTTCTTGCAGACCAAGTTGGAGTATCGGCGGCCCACACCCTTGATCTTGGTCAAGGCGTACATAATCTTCTGCTTTCCATCGACGTTGGTGTTGAGAAGACGCAAGATGAACTGGAAGTTCGTCTTCTCGCCGGACACGAGCGCTAAATTCATATTCGACGCCCATGTTAGCCAGTATTCTTTCCCTCATTTGCGTGGTCGCAACAAGTTTCTTCCAATCCATCATACGATCATCGTCGCGGCATTCGCAAAGCCAAAAGCGAGGAGGAGGGATAACGTACACATGATGGGCGATATATGCGATGAATATCCACCCCGGGAAATGTTGTGCAGGTCGACGGCGGAATGAAGCTTGACGAGGTTCGAAGGAGGTTCAAAAAGTCGTTTGAAGTCGAACTGGATTTGGCTGTGTGGGATCCAAAATGCCTGCGCTAACCCACCCAGGCCTAGCGCCTCAGGGCTTTCGCTACGATTATTAGGTCAGCAGCTTCCAGGACACTAGTTCAAGAACGCTTTAGTGCTTCTTCAACGTCAAGTTCGGCTTATTGGTGCTCAAGAGGAAAAAGCAGTTTTGCTGGCCTGCAGTTCGTACTCTGTAAAAAATATATTTGTCGGAGAGTGGCAAGGACACGAGTTTAAAAGACATCCATCCCTACTTTGCTGTTTCACCAGCGAAAAAAACGGAAGGCCAAATGAACTTGGTGCTACAAAACGACAAAAAAATTGGACTGTCGGAGAATCGAACTCCGGACCACCCCCATGCTAAGGGGGTATTATACCACTAAACCAACAGCCCATTTGTTATTACGATGCCATTTCCTATTTCATTCTATAATTACAGCTTTATCCGACCCAGAACGTCCACCAGCCCTACCAACCAGAGACAATCACTTGTATCAAAAGAACGGCTGAGGGTAGATTGTGTATAAAGGACGTTCATCCAGACTGCTAATAGACCTTTCTCCTTACTCCAAATGACAATGTATGACGTCGACAGGCGTTAAACCAAAAGAATCCACATAAAATCATCAAATATCTGTCCGTGTATACCAAATATTCTTTTTCCATTCATAACCATCATCATACCAGTGACCAACCCATTATACAAGGCCATAAACTGGTGCTTTGACAATGATATTACCCGCAGCCTTGCTGCGAACCTCCACCGCAACAAAAGCAGCAAATCGAATACGCATCGTCTCGTCTCTATCCGTCTCGTCACGTTCCTTGCTTTCTCGAGGGATGGCTGAGGCCGGTCGGCCGGACTCAGGCTGGCTTTGACTTGCTGACGGGTGCGGCTTTTTGGATATAAGCGAACCAAACACGGATTTCTTTCGCTCCTTGGAGCTATAACCCGAATTGGCCGTCGAGGACGACGACGTGTCCTTGATGGTGTCTACTTCTGAGGAATCCATAGCCAGCTCCTTCAGGGACCCCTGGTCCCCGCGATCCGTGGCTGCCGAGGAAGGCTCGGAATTCTGACGGTTCTCGGGTGCCAGGCTCGCAAGAGGCGGCAACGTTGTTTCAAGTTTCATATGCGACTCCGCAATTGGTGCCCCAGGAAGGAAATATTCCACAACTATATCTCGGGATTCCAGCGGAATATTTGCAGCAATACCAATGGCAAGCTCAACAATCATGGAGACTCCGTTTTCTAACCCTGGCGGTGCTGGATCCTTCAAGTTCATTTCTAAACTGGCAGTGAGCTTTTCTACCAAGGACATGGTCAGATGGGCACGGTTGTCTTCAGCCACTTTGCCCTGCAATGCTTCACCAAGGCCGTCGAGGGTAGTCCGACGCCACGACGAAAGCTTCGCCAAGTTATTCTCCTTGTCTTCATCAGTTGCAGCTTTTCCCATATGGCGCACATTACGCTCGATGACTTTCAAGTGACGGCTCAAAGTGGATTCCAAGCTTGGGTGAAAATAACGGTGGAAGATTTCATCCACCAGCCATCGGGTAAGGCATGCACGACCAACAGCTGTCATTTCTTTGGTGCCAACTAAATGAGCGTCCTCGTTCACAACGCCTAGTAACCAAGGTGGAATGCTTTTCCAAGCCTTTCGAATGTTGAATGCGAGATTGTTAATAGCCCCGTCTAGAATCCACCAAA